TAAGCGGAGGAAAATGGATAGATGGATGGATGCTTTGGGTCTTCATTTATAAAGCTTCTCTGATTAATTTGTTATCAGACAATTATTTTCATATCTTGTGGTCTCAGGGCAGCAGCATTCATTTGGAGCCTTATCATTAAACATCCAAGGCCAATATAAACCCATTCTATTTTGGCCTAAAAAAAAAAAAAGAAAATCAGCTAACCACTTGTCAACTTTGTCAACTGTTTAATGATACCTCATATAGGGACTGTAGAGAGCAGGTCAGACTGTAAACCATCTATCCATTTTCTTCCGCTTATCCAAGATTGGGTCGTGTTGGCATCAGGTTCAGCAAGGTAGTCCAGATGTCCCCTCTCCCTGGCAATATTTTCTAGCTCACTTGGCGGGATTCCAAGGTGTTCCCAGGCTCGATGAGATACCTGTATGTAATCTCTCCAGCGTGTTCTGGATCTATCCTGGGATCTTCTAACAGTTGGACATGCCTGGAAAACCTCCAAAGGGAGGTGCCCTGGAGGCATCCTGATAAGATATCTAAACCATCTCAACTGGCTCCTTTCGATGTGAAGGAGCAGCAGTTGTACATCAGCCTAGGAGGGAAACCGATCTTATTCTTTCAGCCACTACCCACAGCTTGTGACCATAGCTGAGGGTTGGAGCATAGACTGACTGGTAAATTGAGAGCTTTGCCTTTTGGCTCAGCCCCTTCTTCACCACAACTGTCTGGTACAACATCCACATTACTGCTGATGCTGCCCATATCCACCTGCCAATGTCACACTCTATTTTACCCTCACTCATGAACAAGACCCTGAGATACTTAAACCTCTTCACTTGGGCAGCAACTTACTCCCAACCTGGAGGGAGAAGTCCACCGGTTTCTAGCAGAGCACCACGGTCTCAGACTTGAAGTCTAATTCTCATCCCTGTCACTTCACACTCGACTGCAAACCACCCCAGTGCATGCTGGAGGTTACAGTTTGATGAAGCTGGTCTGAGGACTGTAAACCATATGAAGTAAATGTAGTTAAATGTTAAAATGGGACTGATGGAAGCCAAAAAGCTGAAGAACTTGGTAATCCATGCACATTATACAGCCATTTGATTCAGTGTTAATGTAGAAAATAATAGTGTTTATTAATGCAGCTGTGGAATAAAAAATAAGAAATACAGTCTAGAAGCTAATTATTGATTGTAAATATTATATGGACTTGTAATGTCTAATGGTCAACATTCATGTAAGACCACATTGTGCCCACTATGATCCAGGTAAACACATTATCATGTTACATTTAGAACACCAGTTAAACTGTAATCTGTTCTAAAGGATTAACATTCAATCTTTTCACTTGTTTCTTTCTTTGTTTTCTCTAGGTGGCTCCAGAGGAGGAGACACCAAAGGATGCTACAAAGATAAGTGTGAGTTAACTACTATCTGCTGTCATTCTCTTAGAAAAGGCTTATGTTTATGAAATCAGTCACAAAACCCTTATGAGTACATTTAAGTTTCTTCAGATGTTGTACTTCTGCTGTATTATACACAAGGATCTGACTTGTACTCGATGCAGCTCTCAGTGCAGTGAACACTTCAGACAACATACACAACACATTTGCTTTATTTCTGATGGGTTTGTAGGATCACAATGTCAGGCAAAGAGCAGACAGCGCTAGTGCTCATCTGAAGCAAGCGTTCTCCCCAAGGGTTCTCCTTGATTTTAGGTATCTCCTCTGGTATGCATAGGCACTTTTAGTAGCTCTCCATGGTAAAAACAAAAAGGGGGGATGGGGGTGGTCACTGAGAACAACGTCTGCACATTGCCTCCACATCAGTCTATTCCTCTTGCTGCCAACTTCATGATTGCAAAAATTTGCAACAATGCTACAAGATAATCATACAGTTGATGTAGAAGTAAATAAAACTGAATATAAAGTTTAAAAGATAAGAACAGAATATAGATACATTTAGATTTCTTTGTGTGTGCAGAAATAAACAGACATCAAAAACATGAAGCATCTCTCCTTCCTCCCAACAGGGTAGCTGCTGTTGATATACTGTAATGAAGGCACCAGCTGTGCTTTGGGTGACTGCTTAAGTGTGTGTGTGTGTGTGTGTGTGTGTGTGTGTGTGTGTGTGTGTGTGTGTGTGTGTGTGTGTGTGTGTGTGTGTGTGTGTGTGTGTGTGTGTGTGTCCGCGTGGAGTCGAACACTGCAGGCTGTACAACTGAAAAATCATCCAGCTTTCTGTATAGAACTGATGTTGGCCTGCATCCATGTAGTCAAACAAAGAAACATGGTAAATGCTCACACATATGCAGACACAGCGGTACGCTTTTACATCCAGTCACATACACACACACATACAATCGAGGACCTACTGGTGTCACAGGGAGAAAGTGGGTGATAAACGAAGTTATATTTATATCTTTGTGTGTCACATCTCATGATGTCCCTTGACTCTCATCAGCTCAACAGTGCTGCTCTATGAGCTTGCAATATCTTTTACCTTTGTAATTTCAAGGTCACAGATAGAATTTGTTAAGTGGTACCTTTTGAGGGTGTGTGAGTGATTGGCTGGGAAGAAGTGCAGATGTGGAGTGTGTCCAGGCTATACAACAGAATGGATTTCAGTATCACATCTATGCTGTAGCGCTCCTATTCTTTCTTTGTATTGCGTCATGCCCAGAGTCTAGCCACCAACATGTTGAGCCATTTCTCTTTTAAGCAGCTTGATATGCATTTTGTGTGTTGTGGTTGTTTCTTGTAATGTAAAACAAACTGCTCAGGGACTGCAGATGAAAACTGACATTATGTTATTGTTAATTAGTATGTGTTGTCCCTCATAAATAAATGATAAGTTAAAGTAAAGCAAATAACTGGAGCCAGGAGACGGTTAGCTTAGCTTAGCGTGGCATAAAGATTGGAAACATAGGGCAACGGCTAAGTTACTGACTTTGTCCAAAGGTTTTTGAAAAACATTACTAATGAACACATTAAATCTCATTAGTTTAATCTGTCCAAAGGTATAGAAATGTCAAGTGCTGATTTATCGGAAGTTGTGTGCAAGACTGTCCTGGCTGGGAGCAGTGACTTGAGACTCTGTTGTGTTCCCTGGAAACCTCACGGTGATGACAAGACTACATCTGGCACATAAAACTACAATTTTTTACCCTTGGACAGAACATGGTTAGCTGTTTCCCCAAATTTTATGTTAATGTAAGTAGACTTCTTTCTACTTCATGTGACATTTAGCAAAGCATGCTGCAAACTAAACAACACTAATGGGTTTACTGTAATGAAAAATGTCTCTAGAAGTTGTTTTTCTTCCTGTACAATAATTATAAGCAATGTAAAGTGTCTATGTCCAGAACCAGTGGGCATGTTGTGACTGGTAGATGCATGAGTGAGTGCATTGTTTGCTCCCACTTATTACCACTCAGCCAGTTTATCTGCCAGACAGCTCGAGCGACTGAGAATCTGTGAGACAGTTACAGGGTAAAAGGCTCCTCTTTTATTGTTGTTGTTTTGTGCATCTGCTGTGATGCTGCAGGTATTTCACTTTGAAGGCTCATCTTAAGCTACATATATTGGGCAAAGAATATGAGGGACAGGCTGGTAGATAGATATGGACACATGCAGGAGCAAATAAAGGACAGTGAAGTAAAGGTAGAAAGGAAAAAAACAAAGCCTGCAAAAACCATAGCAAACCTCAAGACGCCATCAGAGGTTTTGTTCATTAGCCTTACAACATTTAGACATTAAACTGATAGTGTGACGTTTGGGGTTTGTCAATTGTCAGCTAATTAATTAATGTGATGGTTTAACTATTAGTATGAGTATTAGTAATATTCCTGCAATATTTCAAACCACATTTGTATTGTGCACTCTGTCACAGCACAGTTAGATTCTGGTAAGTTGACCATGGAAGAAACAAAGCTGTGCTTTCGGGAAATATAATGTAATTCCAGTTATTTCGCACAGTTTTCAAGGTTTTAGCCTGAAAACTGAATAATTGGGCGTGCAAAATTATTCAGCCCCTTTACTTTCAGTGCAGCAAACTCTCTCCAGAAGTTCAGTGAGGATCTCTGAATGATCCAATGTTGACCTAAATGACTAATGATGATAAATAGAATCCACCTGTGTGTAATCAAGTCTCTGTATAAATGCACCTGCACTGTGATAGTCTCAGAGGTCTGTTTAAAGCGCAGAGAGCATCATGAAGAACAAGGAACACACCAGGCAGGTCCGAGATACTGTTGTGGAGAAGTTTAAAGCCGGATTTGGATACAAAAAGATTTCCCAAGCTTTAAACATCCCAAGGAGCACTGTGCAAGCGATAATATTGAAATGGAAGGAGTATCAGACCACTGCAAATCTACCAAGACCTGGCCGTCCCTCTAAACTTTCAGCTCATACAAGGAGAAGACTGATCAGAGATGCAGCCAAGAGGCCCATGATCACTCTGGATGAACTGCAGAGATCTACAGCTGAGGTGGGAGACTCTGTCCATAGGACAACAATCAGTCGTATACTGCACAAATCTGGCCTTTATGGAAGAGTGGCAAGAAGAAAGCCATTTCTTAAAGATATCCATAAAAAGTGTCGTTTAAAGTTTGCCACAAGCCACCTGGGAGACACACCAAACATGTGGAAGAAGGTGCTCTGGTCAGATGACACCAAAATCGAACTTTTTGGCAACAATGCAAAACGTTATGTTTGGTGTAAAAGCAACACAGCTCATCACCCTGAACACACGATCCCCACTGTCAAACATGGTGGTGGCAGCATCATGGTTTGGGGCTGCTTTTCTTCAGCAGGGACAGGGAAGATGGTTAAAATTGATGGGAAGATGGATGGAGCCAAATACAGGACCATTCTGGATGGAAACCTGATGGAGTCTGCAAAAGACCTGAGACTGGGACGGAGATTTGTCTTCCAACAAGACACTGATCCAAAACATAAAGCAAAATCTACAATGGAATGGTTCACAAATAAACATATCCAGGTGTTAGAATGGCCAAGTCAAAGTCCAGACCTGAATCCACTCGAGAATCTGTGGAAAGAACTGAAAACTGCTGTTCACAAATGCTCTCCATCCAACCTCACTGAGCTCGAGCTGTTTTGCAAGGAGGAATGGGCAAATATTTCAGTCTCTCGATGTGCAAAACTGATAGAGACATACCCCAAGCGACTTACAGCTGTAATCGCAGCAAAAGGTGGCGCTACAAAGTATTAACTTGAGGGGGCTGAATAATTTTGCACGCCCAATTTTTCAGTTTTTTATTTGTTAAAAAAGTTTGAAATATCCAATAAATTTCGTTCCACTTCATGATTGTGTCCCACTTGTTGTTGATTCTTCACAAAAAATTACAGTTTTATATCTTTATGTTTGAAGCCTGAAATGTGGCAAAAGGTTGCAAAGTTCAAGGGGGCCGAATACTTTCGCAAGGCACTGTATAATAAAAAAAGGACATAGCACAATCTTCTTCTTCCAAATAGAAAGTTGAACTAATAACCAATAAAATGCAATCTTGCTTAATTATTTGTTTAATAATGGGTTTGGCCAACAGTTCTTCTGAGTCCTCCTGTATAGCTGATCATACTGTCAGTTCACTTTATAAAACATCTGTACTTATGCTGCAACATTGTAGTTTTAGGTTAACTTTTATCCTGTATTTGCCACTTGTGGTCAAAGTGAAGAAGAACTTTGTCACTGTATGATAAACATACAGCTAAACTGCCATCTCTCTCTGTGGTGCAGCATCAACAACAGATTGGCCATTTTTCTGCAAAAACAACAAATGTGGGTAGTGAGACCATGACTTTTTTTATCTCATAATTTCTTCTTTTGCCAGGTGGTGAAGGTTGTAGGAAGCAACATCTCCCATAAACTCCGCCTCTCCAGAGTCAAGTCATCTGATGAGGGCATCTACGAATGCCGTGTTATCGACTTTAGCGACCATGCAGGTGCCCGCCACCACCGCGTCAGAGCCTACCTGCAGGTGGTGCCAGAGAGGGACATCGTCGACAGTGATCACAGTGACAATTTCGAGGCTGTGGATGATACCAAGAGAGGAGTCGGGTTCGTAGACGGGGATGGCGTGGAGTCTCACGGTAGCACCAAAGAGCACACACATGGCCATCACCAGAATCATGGGCATCACCAGGAGCATGGCAAGCGGCTTTCGTCGTCAGCTCACCACAGCCACAGCAGCAGCAGTCAGCAGCACAAGGAAGGCAGAGAGCTGAGGAAGAGGGACGTGGACAGTAACCACAGCCACAATGACTGCACCAACGAACCGAGCTGTGCGCTCTAGATGTCGGCTTATTACATGTGAGTGACAGAGGATTACATAACGCAATGTGTGTCACAGCATAAAAAGCTATTCTTCCCACACAGTGCAGGTCTGTGTACAGTCCCAGAGTCTCT